AAAAATAGCCCACCGTAATGTGTGGGATGATTCCATTGATTGTCGTCCACAGTTGTGGAATAATCGACAAAATAAGAATTGATCGATTCAGCTGCATCCTCAAAAGTATCAATAAGAACATCCTTGGGTGTGATGCGACCTAGCTTTAAGTATCATTGTGTGCGGCTCCGCGTTTCCATAACCATCTATTGGGTTAGTACATTTTTGCCATCAGACTCTTCCTTCTGGAGAAGAAAGATAACCAGGTTGCAGCTTTTACTATCATATACTGAAATTCACTTGATATTACAAGGTTATTATATTTTTGAACACATATTTAACACTGTATTATTTCGTACTGTTTTACCTGCGGTAGCTACATCAGTAGTGGTTAGGATCCTGCCCGTTTTAATTGGTGGTATTCCAACCGTAAACGCATTTTGACAATAACCTTGTAAGGCAGTTCGGTTTTACTCGTAAAATTAAGTACCATTGTCTCCTGCCATTCGTACTTATCAGTAACAATGAATTAAATTCACTGGTTTCTAATTTTTATATAATTCCCACATGTGGTCTCACTACAGCCGAGCACATGACGCCTCTTTTGCTAATACATTTACGCCTTTTTCTTATAATCTAGGTTTTCGTAAAGTGCGATATCACGATTTTTGAAGCTGTTTGTATGACCCAGTTCATTGTACCGAATAACTCATACTATGCGTCGTTCACTGAACTGTGCAGCTTATTTTCCCGGTTAACATTTGTCACTAGATTTTGGAGTCTGGAATAGTCAGTTTCAGTTTGTCGAGTTTCTCGTCCTTTATATTCAATATCTACGTAGCACATGAAGCCAAACTTAATGAATAAGTGATCGCTACTACCCTGTGAATTGTCGTATAGCACTGAAAACCATCAACTCTTCATTGTTCAGGTCTGAATTATAGCCCACTGAAGAAAAATCTAACTATTGACGGTACAATGAACTTGCCCAGCACAAACATTGACGGTCTGCTGATTAATTTGGATACTATTGTTTGCGTGGTTGGCTGGTCTGCTGTAGCAACAACTTAGTTCGGCTCTTCTGCACCTGTTTGAAGGAATAAACATATAAATAAACGTTTTATTCCCGGCAGTGCGGCGCAAGCCTGAAAAGGTAAGCTCATGATAATTGTATAAAATTTAGCAATTTAAACAGTACCATACTGGATTTGTGCGTGAATATATGCCAGTGTATGTGTTAGTTGGCATGGTGAGTGAACTAGTGAAGTCTGCTTTACCGCGTGAGTCCATTTCTTGTGTTCGCTATCGTATGTATGGATCAAAGGTACTTCTCGAATTGGATGACGTTCATGAAGTGGGGATCCTCCGGAAGGGGAAGAAGCAATGATATTTATTTAGTGGCGTGTCCCATCCGCCACGTCAGAATGTTGTTACAGAGACATATGTGGCTTTTTGTAGGCAGAACGCTTGCCAGGCAAAAAGCCCACCATGAATCGGAACGCTTGCGCTCAAACAATTCGCTGGAACAGGATTAATCCGAACCCCCCAGATGGCACCTCGTGGAGGTTGTTTAACTAGCCAGCCCTGTTCGGCTAGCCAGCCTTATCTGTAAATCTGGTGGTATTCTGCTATCATACAACGCTTAGATCCTTATGGATACCCTCTGGGGCGTAGCGAAGGTTATTTTACAAATGCTTGATCCACTACAGTGGTATTTTTAGAATCCGATAAACAAGTGATGCCAAACATCACTGTTGTTTTATAGAGCTTCGCGGTGTAAGTTATTAAAGTATGATGTATCTCGTTGTTCCCTGGTATCGTAATAAAACATTCTAACGGACCATGGATTTGCACCCCTTTCTTTATCTCAATAACTTTGTAAGTTTAATTGAATGTCTGCACAGTGATATACGAGCGAGGGTGCAGCTGAGTGGAGAGACCTCGGATGACTTTGCAGTTGTCAGTGGTGTGAAGCAAGGCTGTGTCTTAGCTCCTGCCCTGTTTAATATATATCTTCGTGGAATGTTGTCCTGTGCTTTTGATGCGGCTTGTGCTTACGGTGTTCGTGTATAGCACCGTATTGATGGTGGGTTGCTGAACATCTGCGTTTCAGTGCGAGAACTCTAGTCTGTGAGACAACTATCCGCAGGTTGCTGTTTGCTAACGACTGTGCGTTGTTTTCACACTGCGCGGGTGAGTTGCAGCATATGACTAGTGCTCTGGCTTCGACAGCGGCCAAATTCGGGCTCACCATCAACACAAGCAAAACTGTCTGTCTCTTTCAGCCTTCACCGGAGGTGCAATCTTCAATATTGCCGCGAATCAGCATTGGTGCTGAAGTATTGGAAACCACCTCCCGTTTCAGCTACCTTGGGTGTGTGATGTCGACTGATCAGCAGATACACGTTGAGTTGCGTATTCGCTTGTCGAAGGCAGCAGCGGCATTCGGGAAGCTTGAGTACCGAGTGTGGAACAACCATCAGCTTAGCATTGGCACGAAGCTGATGGTGTACAAATCCGTGGTACTGGCCGTTCTTCTATACGGCAGTGAAACGTGGACGATGTACCGTCGGGATTTGCGATATCTCGAGCGATTCCATCAGCAGTGTCTGCGACGAATTTTGCGGATCGGTTGGGGCGCCAGAGTCGCAGACACGGAAGTGTTGCGCCGAAGTGGGATGTATGCAGTGGACGGCATACTTTTACTGCGACACCTGAGATGGCTCGGTCATGTGAGCCGTATTGATTCGGCGCGGATACAGAAACAACTGTTATACGGTCAGCTGAGTATACGGAAGCGGCAAGCTGGGAAACCAAAGTTACGTTACCAAGACGTGATTAAAGTGAGCATCACACGTTCTAATCTTGATTGCAGATCATGGAAATCGAAGGCCGTTGATCATGGTGCATGGCGTGATCTAATCACGAAGGCAGTTGCTGAAGTGGGGGAGAAAGCCCTCATACATGCAGAGAAGAAGCGGCAGTTGCGAAAGCGGCAAGCACCGATCGGTTGTTCTCCATCGACATCGAGCGCATGGTGCTGTAGAACATGCGTTCGCGAGTGCCTTAGTCAGGCAGGCCTAGTGAGCCATGAGAGAGGTCACTCGGGACCATTGCCGAAGCGACGATGGGTTCTTCAGTGAACGTAGGCAGCACCGGCGCATCGTTTGTAGGCACGCTGAATTCGATTTACTAACCGCATGCTTGCATGCTAAGTCTATTTATTTCAGGTGGTGGGTTTTCGGTTCTCTCCCAATGCCCTTCTTTCTCATATAAATGTCTCGTGGGCCATGAGCTAGGCCCTTTGGGGCTACTACAGAAGCGACGACGGGTCCTGCAGAGAATTACGGCGAGCCGGCGCAGCGTTTGTAGGCACGCTGAATTCGATTTACTAACAGCGTGCTTGCATGCTATGTCTCTTTATTTCAGATGGTGGGTTTACAGTTTTTACCTTAATGCTTTTCTTTCTCTTATAAATATCTACGTGTACTCTATTCCATTAACTTGCACACCTCGCCTAAGCCAATTGTATTCGATTTTCATAACATTTTTGTGTTCGTGGCATTCCGTGATCTATACTTTCTGACCTCGTGCACTTAGCTAGGATTTGTTTGTATACAACTTGGTACATATGCTATTTAATTAAGGTTTATGTCACCGTTTCCTTATGCATTAATCGAGTTTTTCTCTTTTTCTTTCTTTCTCTCTCTCTCTCTCAAGTGATTGGCTGTTGTTTGATATCCCCGCTGTGGCTGCGCTTGATGTGCATGTTGACAAAGTGCCTACCTGTCTGTTAAGCACTATCTCGTCCATACTGACTCCAGGAGACAGTTGGTCGTTGCTGGAGAGGACGAGATGAACGGTCCTTGTGGCCAAGCTAGGCTCGAATATTGGTTCCATGCAGTCAATGTGGAGCGGACTACGGTCCAGCCACCGCCTTGTGTGCGCTTGATTCACAAATACAGCGTGCTTGTGTTTGCCTGTGAAGGAGTGTGGGCCGGCTCCATTGATGAAACTTGGCTCCCATCCACATGCCTCCCGGTCTTATTCCTTCGGGTTTACACTGGATATGGGGTATGTGGTTGGAGCTGTGGGTGGTGCAGCGCAAGCCACCCATGGTCCCTCTGTAGGCGCAGGCGTCCTGTGGTTTGCCACAGTGACAGGCAAATCCGAAACCGGATGCCGCCAAACATCTGAAGATAACTTAATCTTGGATGTGCTGTTATTAATGTTGTCGATGGAATCCTTGTGAGAATTTACAATGTTAAATTACTGTTTACAATGTGGAATAAATAAAAAGCAATGATGGTCGCGCATTTTAACATAAATATTGAAAATACCTAGGCCAACATAGGCATTTTCCGTCGGTATACATGCTACGGTTGATATCTAATAATACATCATAACTTGAGTTAAATATTTTATCAATAATGCGTGCAAAATCTCAGCGGAAAATTTGGAGCTTTACTTATTTAACATACATATAAATATATTATCAATGTTTATGTATTCATCGCATTTGTGGAGTGCACGCTTAACAACAAGTGGGAATGCTTTCAAGTTAGTTCAGTTAATTCATTTTTAACTTATGGTTGTGCACTTCCAAATGTGTATGTTTTAGCTTCTTCAGCGCTTTTATTAATTTATTTAGAAACATCTGTGTGGACACATATTACGAAGCATCTTTATTATATACACAAAATTATGGAAGTGAAGTTTCTGTATATAATGTTTTACCTTGTGACAAATTCCAAATCATTAGAAGGGCGTGCCCTTTGTTGGTGATACAAATATGCATATCTTGCTCTTAAGAGTTGAATTAACAACGTTATTAAAATAAAATAACAGAATAACGGCCTCAGATACATCACTACTGCTACTTGCCTCTTATCACTTTTTGTATGTGTAAAGTGTACAATGTCTTCTTACTAATGATTGATACTGCTTTCACATGTCACATCTAAATTTATACATCTGGCATATCATACTGAACCACAAACACTTTTTTCTTTTCCATTCAGGGCTGATTTTTGGAAGGAAAATGCGGATGGTGCAACCTTTATCAACACAACTTGTTCCAGTAAAATTAATAGTCTGCCAAAAGACAACGCACCACAATGGAGTACTGTGTTTGTCGGACATACATCGCCAGTGAGGCAAAACGCCTACTACTCCCTGGTTTCACCCAGACAGTTGCATCCCTACCAGCACGGAGAAACCTTTGTTAATGCTCATGTTGAAGCGTGTTTCGTTTCCTCCAGCTCCCAATCGACGTCGGAATTGCCGCTGAACTCCATGTACGACTCCATCCATAATCCATCCGTCACTACCGTACTTGTAGTCAGCACACCCTATTCTGTAGATACAACAGCAGGAAACACTGGCGTTTACGGAAATACCCATACTGCCACTGGATTACTGTTTCCATCTGTGATGTTCCATCCCCAGCCACCAACGTTCCTGCCTCAGAAATACCCATGCATTAATCCCGTTCCAGACTTCTCTTCCATTACCACGAACGTTAATCGACTGTCACTGGATATTTCTCCAGATATCACGGTATTACCTCTGAACTTCTGTGAAGCACTACCTGTATATGATCCACCGAGAACAGAAATAAGAGAATTCAGTAAAACGCCTAAGATGAACACAACGCAAGAAAAAAGAAATACGGATGATGACTGCGGAACTTATTTGTGATTAGCACGGTTCCGCTATTTCACGTTTTGTATTTTACAGTAATAATATTTCTATGGTTGTTATTTACCATGGCTTACTTGTTACTTGAAACTGCAGAAAGAGTTATATACGTTCCGATCAACGGCTGTTAGCTTCCATGTAACATATTCTAGTGCTGCGGGTATTTCAACATAAAAGTAATGCTTCCTTGTTTATGACTATATTATGCAAGAAGGAAGTGAACTTAGGAGAGATAAATTAATCATTCCAACTTTTGTCACATGTATATGCACATAACTGGCACAGACAGCCACCAGTTTAATGGAAGTCTGGTAGAGTGAACAGTTACTTATTTAAGCTGTAAAGGACTGACAATTTGGCCACAAAATTCAGCGCTGTCGATTCTGAGTTCCAAGCAAACAATAAGAGTTAATATTACGGGAAATTTGCGTGCTACCTAGTTAGATAGTCATGATCATGCATTGGCCAAATACTGTTGCTATTTTAGCTTCTATAGGGAAAATGTTGTGTGCTGGTCTTAGGGCCTAACTCATGTACCTGTGTGTACTACAAGTCATATTTTTCCACCTTTTGGTGATCATACAAGTGCGGAAAGATGACCGCTCTCTCATTTTTCTCCTTTATCTCCTAGATTTGCTTGGACAAATACTCATTAATTTTCGCTGTTTTTTTTATCTCGAAGCATTGTTTTGACAGAATACCTCTCAAAGTAGAAGTGAGGATAGTAATGTATTTGCTTATGTGAAAAATTTGACTATATGTATGCAATTCTAATGTGCTCTTGCATCGGACGAGTCGCTGCACCTTGTCTCGATAGTGGATAGCCATACTGTTATTTCTCATAGCAATCTGGTGATAATAGCTGGCGAACATTTTCACTGCACTTTGATATTATATCTGTGGGCTAGCCTTAATTTAATTGGTCAAGTTAGCAATGTGGATGTTGTAAGCGCAAGCGAAAGTTGTATTCAGTGTTAAAGGCGATATATTCCCTCCTAACATATTTTAAATTGAAAAATGCAACGCATAGCATATCATTTAAACATTTTTAAAAAGGTCGCAAAGCATAACAATCAGTGCCGAATTTGTTTAATATAGTCAGCAAAAAATTACGATAAACTTTCAAGTGCTTTCTCAAATCCCTGTATCTGTTGATATCAATTCAGCATACAAGGTTTAAACGGTAGTTTTAGTTTACTAGTTATCTCATCCGTTGTCTTAGTATATATGTGGAATTACTTAGTCGCTCAAAGAATTCAGAGTAAATAAGATGTGAATTTCCGTATGCGACATTTCGATATCGTAGAGTTATTGACAAACATATTTTATTGCTCTATATCATGATTGAATATTCTCCCTAGGGAGAGATAGAAGTACACCATTCTGTTTCAGATATGTTGTTATCTAATTAGGATTGGAGAGCGTTCCATTTAGCTTGTGCAAATAGCAATACCGCAAATATTTCTTGCATTGGATTAGTGCCAAACGAAATGATAAAATCATGTCAATCTCAAGCATTAAATGATGGAAGCATATATGATTTTTGGCGAATGTTCTGGTATATGATTCTTCCTAGTGATGTGCTTTGGCTTCCTGATAGTGATGTATGTTCCCGTTTGAATATCTCTAGCTCTTGTTTCTTTAAAAATATCACCTTATTCAAAGAAAAAACTGGACAAGTTATATTTGGATAATAGTTATAAAATAAATCACATTGCCAGAGTACTTCTAATATCATGCAATGCAGTTTCCCAATGACATTTTAATTTTTTCATTTACCTAGATCAAGTAAACTCTAGCAACGTACATAATAAAAACCATGATTTTATACTGGCTATGATCATTTGATTATAGCCACTTTAGATTTCCTGTTGGGTTTACCGAAAACTGTTAAAAAATATTTGGCACTATTAATATCGGGCGAATAACCATTTTTAATGTGGTCATCCTGCATTCTGTTTGGTTTCATGGAAGCGGTATGTGACAACTAATAACTACAATGTTTTTCAAGGCGTACCAAGTATCAGAATGTAAGCGACTGAGTTCATTATCCAACCAAATTTTAAATACGAATAATGTCCTTGCAAAGACAACCGATTCAGACAGAGCGTCCCAAAGAAGAAATACAAGAACGAAAGAGAAATTTTGCGATTTTCCAGACTGTTGTACTGCTCCGCCAGTTGCAAGTAGTGAAGCTCCAAATTTGTGTTCCGACTGAGTTGTATTAACGAGAGATACAAGTAAATTTCGTCGCGCGGAATCCACTGGTTGTTTACCAACTTGCATCGGGAAGATAACCCCAAATGAGCTCAGAAATTTTCCGTTTCTGCTACTGTGGATATTTGCTTGTTCTAATACCCGAATTATTAGTCCGAGGCTCCGGCGCCTCCAGAGTAGTGGGCTGTTGCCTCGGCATTGATTAACCTGCTCAGATTGCATATTCCGCGTCAAGGTAAATATAACCACCTACAATAAATCGGGAAATAGGGTATATATATGTCGTAACACAAGCCACAAGATTCCAAGCTTTTGAGTTCTGGCTTACAATAACAATACGAGTCGTCTGTTACAACCCACTTTATGCGCACACAAGTCTCGTTCGGCGAACGATCGCCCCAGCACTTGAGTTCCTATCTTGTAGGAATACGTGACCTGATGATAAATAAGACGAGTGAATTTCAGGTCGATAAATTGTGTACTGCAGCTTGGTTAACTGTAGCAAATGCTGATAAATAGGTGCATGCATTTTGCGCCATTTATTGATGTTGTCCGTACAAAATAAAAATTTTGAGCGGTTGTCTGTGCTTTGCTGTTAATGAATACCGAAAACTTACGTGGTCGTTGGACTGAGCACTTAAACCCATTAACTTCCAGTTGGAGTCAAATAAAGAGCTCCGAAATATAAAATTGTAATTCTGCTGGGATAGAAAATGTGCAAAGTGATGAATATAGGTCTCAACATGAATTGTCCTTAACTTGCTGTGACGGTTTGCGTACATCCTTGACCCATTGAGCTATACTGGATGTGCCTCCGGGTCTCTTGGGAGCTACTTCTGCCAGGAGTTTCAATGGGTAGAGATCAGACAAAATTGGTCTCCTGGTCCTCCAGGTTTTGGTTTTAAAATGGGATTGCATTCATTTCTGTAAAACTAAATCACGATCACCTCTCCACTGCCTTGTGGCCAGGATTTGGAGACAATGGCTTTGGTAGAGGACCCTAATCGTCCTTCTATGTAAGTCTAGGCGCCCTGGCAATATCTCAGCCCAAATACAACCAAGTAAAGTTCTCCAAAATCTACATCTTGCATCCGCCGTCGCGCACATTATCAAATGTCGCCTCATCTGCTGCATATAACAAGGTGGATAAGCGAAAACATGCGACTGCTGGCGCCCCCTTTTTTCTTTTCCACCTCTCTCTTACTCCCACCCTGACCGCCATTACTAAAGTTCTAGTTCAAGTTCAAGCGGGACTGGAACGATAGAATTATCCCGTGAGTGTTCCTTCTTCGGCGGGTCCTTGAACCAGGAGTTGGCAAAATTTGAAATACTGATGGACCTAAAACAAAGACCGCATCACACCCTGTCCAACCGATTGATGCCCACGTATCCTGCCCTAGCAGTCCCTGCTAGGTCGGTTATGTGAAGTAAGAAAGAGAAAAAGTAAACGCAGTAGGCAAAAGAGAAAGTGGCAAGAGCTAAGCAAGTGGAATACCAAGATATTTGAGTCATTAAAAAAAGAACTGAAAAGTGAAAGAGAGTCAGCTAGGAAAAAGGAAAGGTTTGCTGTTGCCACCCAAGAGCATCGAGCTGGCGCGCAAAACCCTTAACCGTAGGTTCCCTAACCACGTGATCTGGAAGCGAATTCCAGCGATCTATAACTCGGCGCGATAGACGAGTTCCCGTCCTAATCCTATCAGACCGTGGTTAATGCAGTTTCAGTGGGTGACCGCGGAGACTAGGTAAGGTAGCGGGACTAAAAAGCCCAGACAAGTCCGGTACAATCTTACCCGTCAAAATACGATAAGTGAGAATCAGGTCCCTTCTTATCCTTCAGGTAGTGCATGGAGTACATACCCAAACTGAGCAAGCGTTCAGGTTACGTCTGTCCCCGTAGACCCTGCACTAACCGAGTGCCCACTCGTAACACCCTCTCCAAGTCCATTTTGTCTCGGTTAAGACTTGGTGGACAAGCCTGAATACAATATTCCAGGTGGAGTCGGACGAATGCCGAAAATAGCTTCACAAACAACTTGGCCGTTAAGATTCCGAAAGAGCGGCGGATAAACCACATAATAGGAAACGCTCGACAAGCAGCCTTCTTCCAGTTGTCTCCATAATGAAGTGCTGATGCGTGTACGACTCCTAAATCAACCTGCTGAGTGACAACAGGGAGTTTACCACCGCCGACAACATATCGGGTGGCAGGATTTACAGCTCCGATTCGGAGAACAGAGCACTTCGCCCTATTTATGGGCATCAACCATAAGATAGACCATTCCCAGAGCCTATCCAAGGCACGCTGAATTGCCTCAGGGCCCCCCGGGATATCCACAATATTCCAGAGCTTATGATCTTCAGCAAACATTAATGATGACAACCCTAGCTCTCCCGGCAAGTCATTTACATAGATCGCGAACAACTGTGGCCCCAATACCGAGCCCTGCGGAACGCCATTAAGGAGAGTTGCCTGAGCGAAATGCTACGCCCCACCCGTACGCACTGTTCCCTCCCCTCAAAAAAACAGACACCCATTGAAGGGCGCGACCAGATATCCCGTAAGATCACAACTTTAGTGAAAGCCGAAGATGTGGAACAGTGTCAAAAGCTTTCGAAAAATCTACGAATAGCACGTCTACAGCGTGGCCACTGTCTACCGCTTCGGCCCAGCTTTCACGAGCTACAAGTAAATTAGTCTGACATGAAAATTCTTTGCGGTATTCATGTTGTGCAACACTGAGAAGGTTGAATCGATTCAGGTGATTCTCCACTGAATCCTTTAG